CTCTCTGTTTGTCTCTCTGTTTCTCTCTTTCTGTCTCTGTGTGTATCTCTCTCTGTGTCTCTGTGTCTTCTTGTGTCTCTCTTTGTTGTGTCTCTGTCTCTCTGTGCGTCTCTCTATGTGCTTGTCTCTGTCTCGCTCTGTGGTTGTCTGTGTGTCTCTCTCTCTCTCTATCTATGTGTTAATAAATACATAGGGTTTTATGAAACAAAGTAGTTGTACTTAATGTGTCCGTGCTAAATGTGTGTTTTCGATGATTTACCTTCTACAAACAATCTGGCCATGTTTAGCTACCCCCAGAAGGACAGTCTATGGGTAGTGTTGAGTCTATGGGTAGTGTTGAGTCTATGGGCAGTGTGAGTCAGGGTAGTGTTGAGTCTATGGGCAGTGTTGAGTCTGTGGGCAGTGTTGAGTCTATGGGCAGTGTTGAGTCTATGGGTAGTGTTGAGTCTACGGGTAGTGTTCAGTCTATGGGCAGTTTTGAATCTATGGGTAGTGTTAGTCTATGGGTAGTGTTAGTCTATGGGTAGTGTTAGTCTATGGGTAGTGTTGATTCTATGGGTAGTGTTAGTCTATGGGTAGTGTTGATTCTATGGGTAGTGTTAGTCTATGGGTAGTGTTGATTCTATGGGTAGTGTTAGTCTATGGGTAGTGTTAGTCTATGGGCAGTGTTGAGTCTATGGGTAGTGTTAGTCTATGGGTAGTGTTAGTCTATGGGTAGTTTTAGTCTATGGGTAGTGTTAGTCTATGGGTAGTGTTAGTCTATGGGTAGTGTTGATTCTATGGGTAGTGTTAGTCTATGGGTAGTGTTGATTCTATGGGTAGTGTTAGTCTATGGGTAGTGTTGATTCTATGGGTAGTGTGTGTATGTTGAACTTGTTTGCACCGTACGTAGCCAACCACGCTAATCGGAGGTGCGGGGGGGCAGACTAAATGCAACAACCAAGCGGTTCTAAAGAATTGAGTTTTCAATTGAGAAACTAAGATAGCTGGCCACCTTCACAATCTGTGGTGAACTGTGCTGTCCCATCCCACCGTGAGCCGCCAACCCCGAGTCACAACGGAGGGGGCAAGGGGGGTGCGGGGGAGAGAGGAGGGGGAGCGTGACGCCGTTTCAGCGGAGGTCCAATGCTGTGGACGTTTTCCATGGCGGCAGGACAGGCGGGGGAAATGTCACTTTTTTATTCGTAAAAGAAAACTCTTCGCTCGGCACACGGCAGTGGCGCTCCGAGAGCAAGGCCCACGCGGCGCCGGTGAGGACGCCCCGAGGAACGCGTCCATCTTCTCCAAACGCAACGACAACAACGACAACAACGACGACAACAACCACGACAACAACGACAACGAAGACAACAACAACAAAATTGCACAGTTGATTGGTTCGAGCGCTTGCCAGCCCGACATCCACTGAACCCCCCAAGGTGACCTTTAACCCCCACCGCAAGTCCGCGACACAGCCACAGCGAAACCTTGCCAAGACGTGGGACCACAGCACCCTGGGACTGACGCCCAGCATCCTCCGAATGACACCCAGCACCCCGCGACGGATGCCGAGCAGCAAGATATACCAACCCTGCAGGCAAGGCGGCACTGCACAGCAACCGAGGCACCCAGGAGTCACGTCAAGATGCCCAGCGACTGACGGCTTGTGAACCGAGACCCACGGCGTCACATCGAACGAGGATCGTGGCAGGTAGTGGCAACGACCTGGGAAACTTTAATCCAGCAGTGGACTGACCACTGCTGCTGATGATGAGGACGACTAAAAGTACAGAATACTTATTCTGTGAGAGTCTGTGAGTTGACGGATCTCTGCATGAGTCTCTGCGAGTTGACACGTCTCTGCACGAGTCTACGAGTCTCATCCTCAGTTCTCTGGGTGGACACCCGATGCGGAGCCGGGCACCCCACTCGAGGTCGCTGTGCACAGCGACGCCAGGAGCAGTGCCGCGGGGCAACGACCCCCCTCGGTGCGCGCCGTCCCGGCTGCTGGCGCCGCCGGCATTGTTGCTGGCGTCAGCAGGGCAGCTTCCTCTTTCCGTACGTCCTGGCGCCGGGGCCTCGGTGCCGCACGGACGACAGCTCAGCTGCCGGAGACCCCTGGCTGCTGTTGCTGCTGCTGCTGGTGGTGGTGGCGCCATCTGCTGGGATGGATTCACACTCGTCAGCTGGGCACGGCTGGCTGCGTACGGTGCGAAAGAGGTTCAACATACATACTGCCTCCATAGACTCAACACTGCCCATAGACTCAACACTGCCCATAGACTCACACCCCCCCCGGGGGTGCGAGATGCCCTTCTGGGGGTAGCGAAACATGGCCAGATTGTTTGTAGAAGGTAAATCATCGAAAACACAAATTTAGCACGGGCACATTAAGTACAACTACTTTGTTTCATAAAACCCTATGTGTTTATTAACATTAAACATGTTTGTAGCAAGTGAGATCCAAAGGGGTGCAAGGCTGCAGTAGAGGTTAACAACTGCTGCTCTAGTACATATGGTGCTTCAATCAAAATGGGACGAAACGGGATGATTGTTTTTAATGGAAAATTAACAGATAATAAAGACACTGTAACATGATAGCAAATGTCACGTTAACAGCTTCAAAAGTCAAAGCGTCTCCACTTGTTCGCCATCGTTGTCAACGCGTGGCCTGGAATCTTCTCCAGGTGGTCTCCAGAGCCCCGAGGCACATTTCTTGTTGCAAATTCTCAGAAGTTTTAACGTTTTTTTGAAGCACCCAGTCTTATATTATCTACTGTTCCGTTCGGTTTCAGGGTAGGAAGGGAGGGAGGAAGGGAGGGAGGAAGGGAGGGAGGGAGGAAGGGAGGGAGGGACCCCCTCTCCCACGTGACTCACTGGGCTCCGTGGTTGGGGTGGAGGCGGCGCTCGCGAGGATTGGGGGGGGACGGATGATGGGTGACTGCGTCAGCGCCAGGAGGCCGCGAGCCGACAGCTCCCGGTGTCTCCCTCCTGCCGGGACGATTGTGGCACAAAACAAAATGTTTATTCAGACCGCGGGAGGAATCCGATGAGCTATGAAGCTCTATTTTCAAAGACTTCCAGTCGGGGGCACGGGGTAAGAACCCCCCCCCCCCAACCGCAAGTCCACGCCAGGACCACGGGTCAAGCTTGCCGGGGGGAGCCCAGCGAGCGGGCGGGACACGCACGAGACGGTCACAGTCTGCCATCAACTCACCCGGCGCCCTGCGCCCGACACCCAGAGCCCTGCGACCGACACCCGATACGCAATTACAAAACAAATGAATGAACGCGTAAGTTTGTCGACGTTATAAACACGGTAGAGCTTCGATTATCTGCCAGCTTCGCGTGGGAGGGTGCGCCAGATATTCAAAGAGCTTATTTTTGCACATTCTTGCGTGCCATCATGTTTGTTGGTGTTGTGTTTAGTGTTTTACATTTGTTTACTGAATGAAATTGGAATGAATATACAAATAGACAACAATATCCTATATTCTTGGTTTTTTCGGTAAAGTCACGTAGAAGGGAAATAATAAAATAATACAAATATTATACCGAAAGAACCAAGAATATGAATCCATGCAGTCACGAAAGCTTTCAATCAAAACAATATCCTACTTTAAAAAGTTATTGTATTTACTGTAAAACGTACTCACTCCAATCGAGAAGACTCTGCATGGGGGTGATAGACACACAGTGCAGTATTTTCATTGTTTAACTTGTATGCAATCTTCATTTGAAGCTTTCGTGACGGCAGGAATCCATACTCTTTGGTTCTTTCGGTAAAGTCACGTGGGTAGAAAAATAATCGATCACGACGTTTCGATCGCAACACAAGCAATCGTTCTCAGGTGGGACAACCACAGCAAGACAAACTGCTGAAGTAGGTGAGGTTATAATAACTGTGTTTTTATACCCTTCTATCTGGCAACAAAACTGACACCTATTTTACAAGGAGTCATGTTTGCATAGACCACAATACCTGCAGCCATAATGCAAACAAAAACATAACTCTGATAATATATGCACTGTCCTTTAAGTTGATTGGTCCACACCCGAGACAGCTTTCCTTAGAGCCTAGTCTCACATGGGTTGGACCAGAGCCTAGTCTCACATGGGTTGGACCAGATCTGGTCCAACCCATATGAGACTAGGCTCTAAGGAAAGCTGTTTCGGGTGTGGACCAATCAACTTCAAGGACAGTGCACATACATTATCAGAGTTATGTTTTTTATTTGCATTATGGCTGCAGGTATTGTGGTCTATGCAAACATGACTCCTTGTAAAAAAGGTGTCAGTTTTGTTGCCAGATAGAAGGGTAAAAAACCAATTATCATATTTTTTACTGGCAAATGAGATTCCAATGGTGCAGGTGAGGGGGGGGGGCAGGGCAGATTGGAGAGTGATGCAGAGAGAGAGAAAGACACACAAAGAGTCGGAAATAACAGGTGACATAGGCAGGTAGGATGGAAACATCACAGCCAGTTAGGTAAAGTCTTAACTGACTGTGATATTTCCATCCTACCTGCCTATGTCACCTGTTATTTCCGACTCTCTGTGTGTCTTTCTCTCTCTCTCTCTGTGCATCTCTCTCTGATCTGCCCCCCCCCCCTTCTCTCTCCCCCCTACTGCCAAGGCCTACTATATACTACACTATACACTACACACTACTATACACTACACTATACACTACACACTACTATACACTACACTATACACTACTATATACTACACTATACACTACACTATAGACTACACACTACTATACACTACACTATACACTACACTATACACTACTATACACTACACTATATAACCCCGTGCCACGGCAGATCTCTCGTCTACTTCAGCAGTTGTTTCTTGCTGTGGTTGTCCCACCTGACGACGATTGCTCGTGTTGTGATCGAAACGTCGTGATCTGTTATTGTTCTAACTTGTATGTAGTGTATAATGTCCTGCATATAATACGTTACACTGAAATCAAGCAAAGCTCCTATTTCGTCACGTACACGGTGCCGATCTCTGGCCTGGTACAGCCTTTGGAGCGGTTTTGCCGGATCGGTCCGTGACCACCGGATAATGTTGGAAGCCAGATAATGTTGGAAGCCGGATAATCACACACCAATGGTCAACTGAGTGAGCGAGTGGGCGTCAGCCCACGTAGCCCCCCCTCCCTCCCTCCCTCAGCAGGTGCAGGGCAGCAACAACAACAACAACAACCACGAGTACCGCCCACGGCACACACCGACGCACTTCAAGCCGGAGACGACGCGCGCCGGCCGTCAAGTCGGGACCAGCGGCAGGCTGCCGGAAGCCTCGGGGGGGAGTTGGCACCGCTGGAGACTGCGTCGATTCGCTCGTCCACGGAATGGCATGTGCATGGAGTATGACGGCGAATGAGACTGTCGTGAAGCTAAGACAAGGGCCACCTCCTCTTCTTTCGTGGGATCGACGGCTCCGACCCCCTGTCATGTGCAGAATCAAATTCAACACGAACCAAAACCTACCCTAGACTAACCCTTAACCTTAGACTTAACCCTAACCTAACCTTCAATTTAACGCAACCTTAAATTTAACCTAACCCCAAACTAAACTCTCAATTAAACCTTCCCCATAACTAACCCTAACCTTAAATATAACCGAACCCTACCCCAAACTAAACACTACATTAAACCCAACCCAACTGTAACCCGAACCTAACCTTAGCCTAACCCATCACCTGTTTTCCACGAGGCTGCTGCTGCTGCTGCAATGGATGCTGCTGCTGCTGCAATGGATGCTGCTGCTGCTGCAATGGATGCTGCTGCTGCTGCAATGGATGCTGCTGCTGCTGCAATAAATGCTGCTGCTGCAATGGATGCTGCTGCTGCTGCAATGGATGCTGCTGCTGCTGCAATGGATGCTGCTGCTGCTGCAATGGATGCTGCTGCTGCTGCTGCAATGGATGCTGCTGCTGCAATGGATGCTGCTGCTGCAATGGATGGTGCTGCTGCTGCAATGGATGCTGCTGCAATGGATGCTGCTGCAATGGATGCTGCTGCTGCTGCTGCAATGGATGCTGCTGCTGCTGCTGCAATGGATGCTGCTGCAATGGATGCTGCTGGTTTGGCCAAATTCCAATTCACACAGCGTGGGACGGAGGGCGGAGGAGTGTCCCAGCAGGGTGGGGGGTGGGGGGTGGGGTGTGGCCAGTGACCCACACAGATTTCAGAACCCATCGGCGCCTCGGCCGTCCCCTGGCCAATTCGTGCCAAGAGCCGTCGAGCAGCCGGTCAAGCCCCTGATCCCCGTGCGCCGGCCCTCCTGGCACCCACCTGCGGGGCTCGAGAAGACGTTGTCGTCGCTGCCGCCGGCGGCGCCGCCGGCGGTGGCGGTAAACGAGAAGGCGGCGCTCCCTCTCGGGGAGGACCAGCCCCGCTCCGTCTCCGAGCGCGGCCGCTTGGCCAACTGCGGCGCCGCCCACGGCACCGCGGCGTCGCCGCCCTCCTCCTCCTCCTCTTCCACCGGGGAAGAGAGGCAGCGGCCGGCTCGCCTCTTCCTGCTGGAGCCCAGGCCGAAGCCGGCGCCGCCGGAGCCGCCCCACCGGGAGCCCAGGCCGTATCCGGCACCGCCGCTCCACCGGGCTCCCCACGTCGCCTCCCTCGGCGGGGAGCTGTCGGGCAGCGCAAACACGCCGTCCGCCTCCGCCGCGCCGAGCCCGCCGTCCCACGGCGCCGGCTTGAGTCCGGGGGCCGCGGGAGAAGCGCCGCCGCCCGCCCGCTTCTTGCGAGGCCACCGCCGGATGGCTGGACTCTGCGCGGGCGACGCGGCGCTCGCGGCGCTGCCGGCGCTCTGCGGGGGCGTGGAGGACGACGCGGGCGGCGTGAGCGCGTGGCAGATGCGAGTCTGCACGCGGCGCGGGCTCGGGGAGGCCGAGGCTCGGCGCACGCGGCACGACGGCGGCGTACGTTGATCCCCGGCCTCCGCCAGCCGCCGGTGCGACGAGTGCCGGCCGCAGCGGTGGTGCGATGTGGCGGCGGCGGTGTCGTCGTCGACCGGTGCCCGCGGTCGGTCCCGGCCGTCCTCGTTCAATTCCCACGAGCCGGCGCGCTTCAGCCGCGGCTCGAGCGGCCCCGAGCCCCGCGGCAGCAGCGCCGGCGGCGACGGTTCCTCCTCGCACTGGCGTCGAGCGTCCTGCCGGGGGGGCACGAGCGGCAGGCGAACAACGCGAGTTACACGACCGCAATTGCCCGCGGCCAATCGACATTCAACGGCTTCCCCAACCCCAAATCTGCCGTGTCGACTCGCGACCCTGCGATGCAGCAATGCACAGGGCCGGCACCGGCGTACGGGAATCCATTTCGCTAATCCGTCTCCGCGGGGAGGACGTGCTCTTAGGCACGTTCCTTTCCTTAGATCGGCGTGCAATAACTTCCAAGCAGACACATTCGTCGATGTCACTGCCTACCTAAAAAAGAATCGTTTACAGTAGTCCCTCTGTTAACAGTGACATCGGTTAATGGTTTTTGTTGTTAATGTTTTGCCTCCCATAGGACTCCCCGTGGTTTCGACTGGTTAAAAAAATGTATTTACGTGACTTTACCGAAAGACCAAAAGAATGTGAATTCCTGCAGTCATGAAAGCTTTAAGTCAAGACGAAATAATAGTTTAGTAAAGCAGTAAACCCGGGGACGAGCGCGTCTCTACCTTAGTGGCGCTTGGGTGCCAGGCGCCAGCGGCCACCGCCGCCGCCGGCGAGGACTGCAAGGCCTCGGCGCGCCGCTGCCTCCGGTCCACCGTGAGCCGCAGGGAGTAGCTGCCGCCGCCGCCGGGGGGGGTAAGAAGCGGCGACGGCCGCGGCGGCTCCAGCAAGGTCTCCGCCGGCGCCCCGCCGGCGCCCGTCGGCTTTCGGCGCAGGCGCACGCCCACGCCCTCTCGCTTGCCGCGCGGCGACGCCAACTCCCACTCGGGTGACGCGAGGCTCCCGGCACCGGCGGGCGACGAGGAAAGCGTCATCTCGTTCAACGCGTCCTCCTCCTCATCCTCCTCATCCTCCACATCCTCCACATCCTCCACATCCTCCTCCTCGCTCCATCTCCCCCCTCTCGCAGCGTTTCTGGAAGCGAAACCATCCGGCTCCTGTCCACGTTCTCCCGCACCCCTTTCTGCCGCCCCTCGGTCGGCCGAGCCACTCCTCCTGCCGTCTCCACGCGCCGTCTCCACGCGGCTTCCAGCGCCGGCGCCCCCTCCGCTCGGGCACCTCCCGGGAGACCTCCCGGGAGACATCCCGAGAGACCTCCTGGGAGACCTCCTGGGAGACCTCCTGATCTCCGGTGCTGGCGCCCGTGACGCTGTCCCAACTCCGTGCTCCGGCACGCGTGGAGGCGTCGGCGGCGATTCCCGTGAGCCCCTCGCGAGCGTCTTGCCGGCGGCGGCGGCGGCGGCGGCGTCGCCTCCGAGCGGCGCTGGCGGTCGTTCCTTTGGCGTCTTCGGCGCGGGCCTCTCGTCGCGCCCCTCTCCGACTCCGCCGGGGAACTCTGGCGGAAGCGCCAGCTGCCTCTTGGCCGGGGTCATCAGGGGCGAGCGCAGCAGGTCCGAGCACTCGCTGCGCGTTCGCGGCAAGCACCGAGCCGGCGCCCGCCTCCCGCCGCCGCCGGGAGACTGGCGTGGACGCGTCCAGGGGACGACGCCACGCTCCATCGACACGGCGCGAGGGGCACGAGGGGTGCGTGGGGTACATGGGGTACGAGGGGTGCGAGGGGTGAGAGGGGTGAGAGGGGTACGAGGGGTACGAGGGGTGCGTGGGGTACGAGGGGTGCGAGGGGTCCTCGCCACGTGCCCCACACCAGGGGTCTCGGGGGTTCCAGGAACGCGACCGCTGCGAGGAGTCTGGGGCGTGGGGGTCAGGCGGCGGGGCAATCTTGTAGAGGACACGGGGGTCCCGGGGGTCCCGGGGGTGCCGGGGGTGCAGGGGAAGCCTCGCGAGAACCGGGGGCTGCGGCAGGGGGGCGGCGTGCCGGGCGGGGAGGGTGCCGGGCCGCCGTCGTCGTCGGCGCGCCCCGGCGCCCGCGACGGCGTGCGGGGGCTGCGTGACCGCGGCGGCGGCTCCGTCGTCGTCGTCGTCGAGCAGCTCGATTCGAACCGCACTTTGGAGGGAGTGCGGCGCGAGCGCCGGCTCCTGGCGGCGCTGGCGCGCGGGGGGCCGGAGGGGCCGGCGGACGGCCGCGGCCCGGTTGTGGTGGCGGCGGCGCTGGCGCTCGACGGGGCGAAGAGGCGGCGCGACAGCTTCGAGGGGCTGCGCACGCGGCCCAGGAGGGCGCCGTCCTGCGGAGAGCGCCGGCCATGCGGCACGAGCGAACCGGGGGGAGGGGGGGGGGGGTACAGAAGCGGCGTTCTGGTGAGTGCGCTGCTTAATCACGTCACTGTGGCGCCGTTTAATCAGCACCACGCCCGGCCACCTTTGTCTCTCCAATGCCGGTGTGGGTTGGCTACATACGGTACGAAATAAATTCAACATACGTAAACACGTATACACCGCACCGGGTCCTCATTTAAAGCAGAGTCAACCTAGAGGAGGCCCATGGTTGGCTCAATGGTGTTGGTTGGGAGCGAGAATGGAACTCAGGTCGCCAGGCTCAGAGCTCCTTCCTCCCGCACCTCCGATTAGCACGGTTGGCGACATACGGTGTGAAAGAAGTTCAACGCACACACACGTATCATCACGTCACTATGGAGCCGTTTAAAATACGAATGTTCATGGGCCCAATAGCAGATATTGGGACCAAATAAAGTAGCCAAACATTGGTCCAACCAATGTTTTGACATGACGGGTGAATTATTTGATAGCTATATTCTTAGGTTTTTTCGGTAAAGTCACGTATTTGATAGCTCCACTCATTTCAAATGGGTATCAAACACTTCACTTATCGTCGGTCACACGAAGAAACCGCGACCGCAATGAGCGACGCCACCGCAGGTGTTAGCGACGAGCGGGGCACCTGCCCTGGGCTCCAAGGCATTGCGACGCGGCTGAAGCTCACGGCCGTGCGTCCCCCCTCTGGCCCATCGCGCCGGACCCCCCCGCCCCCACCCCCACCCGCCCCCCAAACCCCCCCCCACCCCGCCCCCGCGGCCTCACCCGCTGGAAGGCCCCGCCGGCGAGATGCCGGGACGGCCGTGGGTCGGAGGCGATGGCGTCGGGGCTCTGCTGGGTCGCCGCAAACAGCAGCTTGCGTGGAGACGGAGCTGCGGAGGAGGAGGCGGCGGCCTTACGCGGCGACATGGAGCGTTCTGAAAATCACAGGCGGCACACTGAGACGCGGCACTCTGAGACGCGGCACACGCAGACGCAGCAGACGTGGCACTCTGAGATGCGGCACTCTGAGACCCACACACACACACAGTGCAACCGGTATTGGACAAAACATCCCCATGCTGAAAAATGTCCTGCAAATTACTCAATTGAACTCACACGCAACAGCAGCAGCAAACCTGGCAAAAAACCCTCGTCAAAAAGTCTTGATTGGTGAATAAACGAGCAGAATGATGATAATAACAATCTCAAGATGCTGATGGCCGTTTGGCAACCGTAGTTTTTGTTATTTTTAGTCGCCAAGAGGAATTCGTGGCAGCACAGCGGTGGCGCTTTTTGCGAAGGCGCCTCATCCAGCAGCGGATTAACCACGGCTGACAATGACGCCGACGGGCAGTTGCCGTAACCCCCGACCCCCACCCACCTCTGCCGGCCTGGCTGCCCTGCGTGGCGGCGGCGGCCTCCTGCGTTGAGACGGAGGCGGCGGCGCGAGAGAGCGGCTGAGAGGCGGCGTAGAAGGAGGAGCGGCGCGAGTGGAGCCGCGGGCTGCGGCGCACGTCCTGGGTGCCCGCGGCTGCAGAGCACACCCAGTGTCGTCGTCATCGTCAACGCCATCGTCATCAGCAACACCATCATCATCACCATCATTGTCAACGCCATCGTCATCAGCAACACCATCGTCATCGTCAACACCATCGTCATCAGCAACACCATCATCATCACCATCATCGTCAATGCCATCACCAGCGAACAAGATCGTCATCACAATCATCATCGTCAATACCATCGTCATCAGCAACACCATCATCATCACGATCATCGTCGTCAACATCATCATCGCCGTCAATGCCATCACCAGCAACAAGATTGTCATCACAATCATCATCGTCAATACCATCGTCATCAACAACACCATCATCATCACGATCATCGTCAACGCCATCACCAGCAACAAGATCGTCATCACAATCATCATCGTCAATACCATCGTCATCAGCAACACCATCATCATCACGATCATCGTCAACGCCATCACCAGCAACAAGATTGTCATCACAATCATCATCGTCAATACCATCGTCATCAGCAACACCATCATCATCACGATCATCGTCAACGCCATCACCAGCAACAAGATTGTCATCACAATCATCATCGTCAATACCATCGTCATCAGCAACACCATCATCATCACGATCATCGTCAACGCCATCACCAGCAACAAGATCGTCATCACGATCATCATCGTCAATACCATCGTCATCAGCAACACCATCATCAACACCATCATCGCAGTCAATGCCATCACCAGCAACAAGATCGTCACAATGATCATCATCGTCAACGCCATCGTCAATGCTATCGTCACCAGCAACACCATCGTCATCACGATCATCGTTGTCGTCAACACCATCGTCACCAGCAACACCATCGTCATCACTATTATCATCAACACCATCATCATCGTCGTTGTTGACATCAATATTCATCGTAAACACCTTTTACTCCACCAACACCACCATCAACATCAACACCACCACCACATCATGACAACACTGTGACAACATTGCATCATGACGTATCAATCACCACCGCCACATAAACCATCACCCCCACCACATTAACCATCACCACATTAACCATCACCGCCACCACAATAACCATCACCACATTAACCACCACCACAAAATTAACCATCACCACAATAACCATCACCATCACCACATTAACCATCACCACCACCGCCACATTAACCATCATCACCCCCATCACATTAACCATCACCACATTAACCATCAACGCCACCACAATAACCATCACCACCACATTAACCATCACCACAATAACCATCACCACCACCACATTAACCACCACCACCAAATTAACCATCACCACAATAACCATCACCACCACCACATTAACCATCATCACCACCACCACATTAACCATCACCACCACCACTACCACATTAACCATCACCACCACTACCACATTAACCATCACCACCACCCCACATTAACCATCACCACCACATTAACCATCACCACCACCCCACATTAACCATCACCACCACATTAACCATCACCATCACCACCACCACCACATTAACCATCTCTACATCAACCACCGCCGCCGCCGCCAGCAGCAGCAGCAGCGGCATGGCCCCCGTGCGCACCTCGGTGGAGAGGCTTGCACGGAGACTCCTGCACCACGGTGACGCTGGCGCCGTCGCACGCACCATGCTCCCTACGCACACGCAAAGACAAAGATCCCCGTATAGCCTTTACACACTGTTGGGGCAAGTGCTGTTAGCGAGCACCTATGAAGCCCGGAACGGCACACGAGGGGGTTGGTGGTCAGCCCCACGCCCGGCCGCCTTTGTCTCCCCAGTGGCGATGTTTACACACCGCACCAGGTACTCATTTGAGGCTGAGTCGACCTCGGAGAGGTCCAGGACCGGTTCAGATAATCGTCACTGGTGTTGGCCATGAGCAGGAATGGAATTCGGGGTTTAAACTAAACTGTTTTAACACGTAGGCTTTCGCGACCAATATCATCCATAATAGGTTTTTTTTTGTTGGGTTAGATCGCGTAATTTGTCTGGCTGTCGCCTGATGAAGCTAGTTGTAATTACTGGAGAAACGTCGTACTCAAGATTGTAAATGTTGTGGCTTGGATCTCCAACACACCGGTTAGTGCTGTACTAGTGACGAATTGGCACGTTTACGTGACAACCCTTACTAGTTGGCTGTGTCGGGTGGTGGAGGCGGGGGGTTTAACAACACATTTATATAATTATACGCGATCTAACCCCCAAAAGAACCCTCTATTAAACTGTTTTATTTGACCACGTAAGGCCCCACTGAGCTATGTAGCTTCTTCAGAAGCAACCTGGCTATCACAAGTGACAGCTCAACGATTGGGCTTATCACGTTGAAATGTATAACAGCCAGATACCGGATTACCCGGAGATAGTTCCACGCGACCACATGGAGAGCATGCCAACTCCAAATATACAGCAGGCTTCAGGGTTGGGATCGAACCCACCGCCTCCTGCATACCAGGCGAGGTAGTTAACATCCCACCGCTGAGGGTCATCGGGTTCATAGTACGTTGCGCTCACCAACGCACGGACACGCGCCGCCCTGGCCGTCTAACACGACGCACGTGCTCGTCTCTGCACGCGTGAGTCCGATGGTCACCTGACATCTGTTCCATGTTTGACCGTAGCGCGGTTTGAGTAGTGGCACCACGATCGGTCGAGGGGTAATTTTACTCGTGCCGACTCGCGCTGCGGAGACTGCATTGGTTTGTGTTGTGCGCGATGTTTTTTAGTCGTCTCATGCGACGCAGTTGCTTTGTTTTGATTGCTATTTGCTTCATTGCCATAACTTCATCTCGTTTTTTTCCTTTTGTCGTTTTTGAGACTCATCCCGGTCTCTGAAGATCTCACCTGTCAGTCTCGAGGCGGGCCTGTGAGTGTCTACGCGAGACTGTGGGTCTCAGAGCCTGTGAGTGTCTACGCGAGACTGTGGGTCTCTACGTGAGTCTGTGGGTCTCTACGCGAGACTGTGGGTCTCAGAGCCTGTGAGTGTCTACGCGAGTCTGTCAGTCTCGAGGCGGTGGGTGTCTACGCGAGACTGTGGGTCTCAGAGCCTGTGAGTGTCTACGCGAGACTGTGAGTGTCTACGCGAGACTGTGGGTCTCAGAGTCTGTGGGTCTCTACGCGAGACTGTGGGTCTCTACGTGAGTCTGTGGGTCTCTACGTGAGTCTGTGGGTCTCAGAGACTGTGGGTCTCAGAGCCTGTGAGTGTCTACGCGAGACTGTGGGTCTCAGAGCCTGTGAGTCTCTACGCGAGACTGTGGGTCTCAGAGCCTGTGAGTGTCTACGCGAGACTGTGGGTCTCAGAGCCTGTGAGTGTCTACGCGAGACTGTGGGTCTCAGAGTCTGTGAGTGTCTACGCGAGACTGTGGGTCTCAGAGTCTGTGAGTGTCTAACGCGAGACTGTGGGTCTCAGAGCCTGTGAGTGTCTAAGCGAGACTGTGGGGTCTCAGAGCTTGTGAGTGTCTACGCGAGACTGTGGGTCTCAGAGCCTGTGAGTGTCTACGCGAGACTGTGGGTCTCAGAGCCTGTGAGTGTCTACGCGAGTACTGTGGGTCTCAGAGCCTGTGAGTGTCTCGCGAGTCTGTGGTCTCAGAGCCTGTGAGTGTTCTACGCGAGCTGGGGTCTCAGAGCCTGTGAGTGTCTACGCGAGACTGTGGGTCTCAGAGCCTGTGAGTGTCTACGCGAGACTGTGGGTCTCAGAGCCTGTGAGTGTCTACGCGAGACTGTGGGTCTCAGAGCCTGTGAGTGTCTACGCGAGACTGTGGGTCTCAGAGCCTGTGGGTCTCTACGCGAGACTGTGGGTGTCTACGCGAGTCTGTGGGTGTTTACGTGAGTCTGTGGGTCTCTACGTGAGTCTGTGGGTGTCTACGTGAGTATGTGGGTCTCTACGCGAGTCTGTGTGTCAGTCTGCGGGTCTATACGTGAGTCTGTGGGTCTCTAAGCGAGTCTGTGGGTCGCTACGTGAGTCTGTGGGTCTCTACGTGAGTCTGTGGGTCTCTACCTGAGTCTGTGGATCTCTACGCGAGTCTGTGGGTCTCTACGGGAGTCTGTGGGTCTCTACGTGAGTCTGTGGATCTCTACGCGAGTCTGTGGGTCTCTACGGGAGTCTGTGGGTCTCTACGTGAGTCTGTGGATCTCTACGCGAGTCTGTGGGTCTCTACGGGAGTCTGTGGGTCTGTATGCGAGACTGTGGGTCTATACGTGAGTCTGTGGGTCTCTACGCGAGTCTGTGGGTCTCTAAGCGAGTCTGTGGGTCTCTAAGCGAGTCTGTGGGTCTCTACGCGAGTCTGTGGGTCTCTACGGGAGTGTGTGGGTCTGTATGCGAGACTGTGGGTCTCTACGTGAGTCTGTGGGTCTCTACGCGAGACTGTGGGTCTCAGAGCCTGTGAGTGTCTACGCGAGACTGTGGGTCTCAGAGCTTGTGAGTGTCTACGCGAGACTGTGGGTCTCAGAGCCTGTGAGTGTCTACGCGAGACTGTGGGTCTCAGAGCCTGTGAGTGTCTACGCGAGTCTGTGGGTCTCAGAGCCTGTGAGTGTCTACGCGAGTCTGTGGGTCTCAGAGCCTGTGAGTGTCTACGCGAGACTGTGGGTCTCAGAGCCTGTGAGTGTCTACGCGAGACTGTGGGTCTCAGAGCCTGTGAGTGTCTACGCGAGACTGTGGGTCTCAGAGCCTGTGAGTGTCTACGCGAGACTGTGGGTCTCAGAGCCTGTGAGTGTCTACGCGAGACTGTGGGTCTCAGAGCCTGTGGGTCTCTACGCGAGACTGTGGGTGTCTACGCGAGTCTGTGGGTGTTTACGTGAGTCTGTGGGTCTCTACGTGAGTCTGTGGTGTCTACGTGAGTATGTG